TGCCTCCTGGTGCGCGGCGCGGCCGGGCATGCTCCCCGCGGGGAGGGCGGGTGAGGCGGGCTGCGACAGCTCCCACGGCCTCACCGACACACCGGAGGCGGTGGCGGGCGGGGAAGCGCGCATGCGCAGGCAGCCGCCGCTCCCCCCTCCCCTTGGCACTCAGCAGCGCGAGCTTTTTTTTTTTTTCCTGTCCCCGCCCCTCTCGCGCAGGCCCCGCGCTGTGATTGGGTGAGCTGCTCGAGGGGCGGGCCCACGGCGGCCGGGCCCCCAGCGGTGGCGTCAAGGGGCAGGCGGGGACGCTCGCTCCCCACCGCCGGGCACGTGCGGGGAAGGGTGAGAGGCTCATTAGCATGGCAGCCCCTCCCACGTCACCGCCAGCTGCAGTTTCTTCCACTGGCGCGGATCGGAGGGGAGGGGGGACCGAGCGGGGAGCGGGTAACGGCAGCCAATAGCCCGTTAACGGTCGGCGCCTCCGGGGGGAGGGGCTGGCAGCGTCACATCCAGCCCTCAGCGCGCTGGCTTCAGGGCCCGGCGCGACAGGAGGGGCTGCGCGCATGCGCACGTGGCGCTGCTGCCCTCGCGGCAGCCACGTGCGGGCGTCGGGCGGAGCGGGGATTTGCCCTGGGCTCAACAGCGGTCTGTAGGGAAGTGAATGCCAGTGGCAGGGGGGTTCCCTGGCTTCTGTTGATTTGCCCCCCCAGCAAGAGTAGATGAGCCCCCCCCCCCACGAGAGGGAGCCTGGGGCAGCAGTTGTTGTGTGCTTTGGGCTTTGGGTTGCAGGGCTTTTCAGCCCAGGGACCTTCCACTGCCAGTCCTGCTACTCGTGACTCCTGTTTGCATGCCTGCCCTGGCAGAAGAACTAGGGGCCTGGCCTTAAAGCTAGCGGACACCCTGCTTACAACAAGCAAAAGGAAGTTCTTTTTCACACAGTATGTCCTTACAGCATGTAGCTGCTTGCCTCCGGGTGTCACGGTGGCTGAGACTTTAGCCAGGTTCAAAAAGGGATTGGAGAAGTTTCTGGAGGAAAGGGGCATGGGCGGCTGTTGGGTGCAGGAGTTGGGGGCACAGCCTCCAAATCAGAACTTCCTTCGCCTAAATGCTGGAGGCTGCAAGTGTGAGGCGTAGTGGGGGAAAGTCTGTTCTTACCAGATTACCTCTCAGCACCCGCTCCCTGCCACCTGTCCCCTGACCCAGTACAAAGCAGTTCTTATCTTCTTTCAAGGCAAACCCAGAGATTTCAAATAGGAATCCACTCTGGTAAAAAGATTCTAACCAGTTGTGATCTCCCCAGGTTCTTTGCAACAGAAAAAAAAAAGCTCTATTACTTCTCCATAGCCAAAAAATAGTGAAACAGAGCTGGCATTTTTCCAAAGGGGTGCCTTGAGTCTAGAAGGGTTGAGAACCACTGTCTGTCGGACACACCCTAGATGAAAGACAGGGCAGGGAGGCACAGTAACGCAAGGTGCGAGCGTGCTGTTTGAACTGAAATAAATAATAAACATAATATCAAAAGCTGTCATCATAAGAATTCCTCTCCTAAGAACAAGCCTCTGGGAAAACCAAAGCAAACCCAGCCTTGAGATACTGTAGTGCTACTGCCTAGGTCAGCTAATGTAGCTGTTCAGAGGATACACTGAAAAACATCATGCCTAACTCAACAATTCTCAGCTGGATCAAGAGATCATGTACCTAGGGGACTGGATTTGGTCTCCTGGTTGGACAGCATGACAACAATAGCTGTGCATCCTGGATATAATGTTGCTAAACCCTTGGAAGAGGGCTGTATTTCAAGGGCTAGAAACAGTTTTGAGTAACAAAGGGAAAATGATACCACATTCAGAGATATAGGTTCAATATAGCAGTACTGAGGAGATGGGGGAAGCTCCTCACAACAGTGTAGTATACGGTGATCAAGAGCTCTAGTTTTTTTTAGTGTTAGTGATTTCATGCAGCATTCCTGAGAATACATGTAATTCATGCAGGAAACATGCACCACACTTACTACATAAGTTAAGGGAATAGCACTTGCAGTCTTTGTTTCCAAAACCATAGACCTCAGCGCAGCTAGGTGCTGGAGATGCTCCTCAAAATCTCAGCTGGCAGAATTAATACATTCATAGACAAGGGTGATATACATTTCAAATATAGTCTTCCCTAGACAGAAACAGTATCTCCAGAAATGCTGGGCATTTCCATAGTAATGTGAAAAATAAAAAATAAAAATACATCCCAAGCATTGGAGGGCAGTAGTATCCATACTCAAGGCAAACCACCCCATACCCATAGGAAGTACTTCCATAACTCAGCCAAAGAACTGCATTCCTTCAGCATGGTAGATTATCTTTTAAAAGAGGGAAGCTCAATTGTGCATTTTCCTGGGTTACTTATGACTACAGAGTTCCCTCCCACAGGATCCAAGAGCTACCTCAAAATGTAACCCCTTCCTGTCCCAGTTGCAAGGCACATTTCTTTGAGCTGGTGGTCACAACACACATCCTTCATAGTATAACAAAACAAAGGACAAACCAGTAAAAATTTCCCCACCCCAGGGATAGGAACAGAGAAGGCAAATGTAATAGGTGATAGTTATGTTGCTTAATACATCACTGAAAGGCACCCAGCTAGCATGATGCACAGTACAAGAAACTAAGCAGAACCAGACTCATGTCAAATGGATTCATAAACACCTGCTACAGATTCTGTTTGGTAAATGAATTGTACACATGGCAAGTCTCCTTTAGCTCGTCTGGCAGAAAAAGAGAAACACATACATAAAGCAGATGCAGTACACCATATGCCATTAAGCAGGAGGCAATGACCATTCACACCAGACAAGCCCGGACCCCACCCTCCACCACCCCTACCCCATATCCAGATCTAGCAGCTCTAGAAGGGGAAACTGGACTGTAGGAAAAGTTTTTTCTCACTCTTCTTTCAGGTAACAAAGGAAAACTCAGCCTGAGGAGACCAGAAGGAGCATAACTGGAAGGAGAAAAATACCAGGGGGATTCAGCTGAAGGGGTGTCATTGTGCCCTTGCAAACTGGGATCCAGTCGTTATTTTTGCTTTCCACCATTTCACTTTAAAGATGCTGTTTCCCCTGCCCCACAGCAGGAGTGATTTTATAGTGTGAGGAGTCTAAATGCCAATGCTGAAGCAGTGAATCAGTGCCTTTCTCCACTCCAGATCCCCAAAGCGATCTAGTCTGGCAGTGAATTTACATGTTCTTCCAATACCACTAAGAGAGGTGATTAGGCTCATTCACCAAACATCATTACTTTAAGGTCCCAAAGCAGCCACTTACAATGCTTTTACTTAAGACTGACACCACCCACTGCTTGTTTCTCCACACAAGCTCATAAGATGCTGAACATTATGATTGTTTAATTTTGTACAGTCATAGCCTTGTGACTTTTGCACATGGGCAGTTTGACTTACATAATACTAGTCATTTGTGCAGGTAGGAGTTTGTGGGAAGCTGCTTGTGGGATCCCTTCCACTGCATGTTGTCTGGGTGTCACATACTTGGTACTGCCTGAGACAGTGATGAGAGGCTGTTTTGTGACTTTTTCCTTGGCCTTCTCCTGAGATTAGATATTCTAATCACCAACTGAAAAAATGGATAGGTGTAACAAACCAGCAGTTGCTGTACATCAGCCCTACCCTCCTGGTTCACTGCAATTCTACAGTAAAAGTGGCACTCAAGTTTAATGCCAGTTTCTCTTGCACTGTGGTATTAAGAATGGGGATAAAAGGCAGGGAGGGGATTGTATTTGGCTTTTATATTTAAAAGTTTGTGATAGGGAATTCAGCTCCAAATGAGGAGAGGAAAATCCCAGTTCCAATGCAACAGGTCTGTAAATAAAATACCCACTCTAGGCAGAGTGGGTGTGTACACTCACCACTACCAGGAGAATCACTCTGAGAGTACAGCATGTGCAAAATGAATGTCTGGGGTCTAACAGATTGGGAGAAGCATGTGGTAAGGGCCTTGAAAGAGGCTCTGGGCTTGCCAAGGTTGGTAGATGTACCATATCCCCCTCCCCCAAATAAAAAGGCTCATCAAATTAAGAATGGATTTTTTTTCTCTAGCTCCTGGAAAACAGATTCTTTTTCCCAGCCCTCCTCCAGTGGATGATCTGCACTGGGTTGCCTCGGGTGTCCTGGGTGTGGAAACCAAGGATCTATCAAGCCAAGCTTCATCTCAGCTACGAGGACCTTTGTACAATTTGTACCAGTGATAGTACCTTCCTCCTTCTGCCACAACTGCACCCTCCCTTCCAAGGCAGCTTTTCATCATGGCGTGAAACAGCTGAGAAACAGGTCCTGAACATCCAGCTCCATAACATACAAGAGGCTGATGGTTGCTTAAGGTCCCAGCAAGGGGGCAAAGGAGTGAGTTCACAGCAAGAGGAACTGACAGAAGAAATTAGCACTAGTTCCAGTTAACCCCTTTGTCATCACAGGTACTCCTATTGCCTCATGCATCCTCTTCAATCTAGAGCTACTTTTATTCAGTACCAAACCCTTTACTCCCACCAGGCCCTCCTTATCCCACAAACCCCTTACTAAGGGTAGATGCCCCACAGCCATATGTCACGAATGGGTTTTCTGCAGCAGGCTGCCTGCATCACAATAACCCTTTGCTACCATTTCACCCTGGCAAGCAGTTTCACACAACCCGCAGTTCAGCAAATACAGGCCTTTACGAGGTCACCAGGCACATGTTCGGACTTGACTGAGGAATGCCTTGGTGCTTCTACAGCACTCCCACACCACTGAGCAACAGTGTTAGCTGCAAGCAGAAAGTAGCTGCAAGCTCCCACCTGCAGATGCGAAGAGGGAGGGGGGTGGATGAAGAAGCAGGGCCTGGGAGGGACCTCCAGAGGTCATCTCATCCAGTGGTTGTCAACCTTTTTTGTAACAGGACCCATCTGTAAAAACATTGATGGCCAGTCCCAGCCCAGTGCCCCTCACTCCCCACCCACTGCCCCCAGTGTGGGGGGGGGCATTGTGGGGCAGCACAAGCCCCCAAGCAGCCCCTTGCAGGCTGGATCTCTGCCAGTCTACAAGGGAAAAAAATGTTTTTTTCCCCTCACGTTTTTCTCCTTTAAAGGAGAATCCATTTTTAAAGTTGGCTCCCACCCTTTCATACACTCTTGCAACCTACAGGTTGAGAAACCCTGATCTAGTCCGACCCCTCCCTGAGGCCGGATCACCCTCCACCTCCTCCCCATCCAACTACATGCAGGAGGGACCGTGGGAGAAAGCTCCCACCTGCAGAGGGGAGTCGGAGACCCCCCACGTCCCGCGCATCCAGCACTGGATGTCCGAGCCCTCCCCGGAGCCTGGACGGGTCCCTCTCGGCGCCCGGCGACTCCAGCCACAATCAATGCCCGGCCGGGCCGGGCCGGGCCGGGTGGGGACGGGACGTGCATTGCACAGCCTCACCCCAGCTTTCCCCTGGTCCAGGCACGGCAGCACGACTAGCCTAGATGCCCGCACCACCACGCGACCCGCGGCGGGGGGCAACAGTCCCCACTGCAGGGCTGGAGCCTGGGGCCAGCGACCGGGGAGCAACTCCCGGCCGTTGCCCTGCCCCGTCGGCCCACGTGCAAAGCCTGAAGAAGCCCTCGCGCGCGGGATCGGCCG